CGAATGCAGAGATAATGGATGGTTAAATTACAGTCCTGGAAAAGATATTATCTCCAGAGGGATCCCTTCAATGAAGCTTCATTAAATTGCAGTCTGTGGATGCATTTCTCCAATTTTGCAGTTAAACTGTGTTCAATCGTTTCATATTGGTCAAGCTATATACATGTTTGAGATTCGATAAACAATTTTTTTATCGAACCGCTTGTACAGAACGGTTTTGTACAGTTGCAGACAAAAAGGAGAGAAGATTCGTCTTGGGCTAATCGGCCCAGGATATTCCTTGGGCGAATTTGGGCTTGTTATTTTTGCAAGTAATCCGCGGAAATGAAGAAGCAAAGAAACCGCGGGAAATTTAAGAGAAGGCAGCTAATTACAGTTTAGTCCCTCAAGAAGATAATATGACCACTTCGATCACAATAAAATGTAAGCACGGAGGTTTGGCGCCAACTAAAATTGCCGAAACTTTTATTCTTGGGAGTTGGCGCCATTTTAGTTTCCCGCTTCCCCATTACTCTGAGGCTTCCTCTCCAATCTTCTTCCCGATTAGAGAAACCCTAAAAAAACAAAATTCACCCTCATTTTCCTCTTCCTCCCCTTCGCTATCAATCAGTCTCTTAGTCTCATTCTCCGGCGAACTAACTTATTGAACAAGAAGAAGAAGTGTACGTGCTCCGGCGGCGACGACGGCTGCTAGATGTTTTACTCGCAGACATTTCTGGCTCGAAAGGGTCCGCTAGGGACGGTCTGGTGCGCCGCTCACCTTCAGCACAGGCTCAAGAAATCTCATTATACTTCCACCGATATCAAAGCCGTCGTCGGTAAATCATCTCTCTTCCGTCTGCAAATACTTTTTTGTTTTTTGTTTTTTCCTTCTTCGTCGTTGAGTAAAGCTCATTACTTTGCCTTTGTTTCTCGATTTCCCGGGTAAAAGAATCTTACTTTGTATGATTCTAATTGTTGGGGGTTTGTGGACTGTAGACCACATAATGTGCCCAGAGGTGCCGATTGCGCTTCGGATGTCAGGCCACCTCTTGCTAGGGGTTGCTAGGATCTACTCCAAGAAAGTGGATTATCTTTTCCAGGACTGTAATTTAATGAAGCTTAGTTTGAGAAATGCCTTCACCATCACAGTAGACATCAATCTGCCAGAGAATGCCAAAACAGCCAAGCCGGATGCTGTTACTTTGCCCCAAACATTTGACCTAGATGCGCTGGAGATCGATGATGACATCCACAATATTTATGGGTAAATGATTTAAATTTTAACAAGATTCAAACTTTCTCCATTTTCCCTTGTCTTGGTTTCTCTTCTTGATTGCTCTTTCGTTTTTTATATAGGTCTCCAGATAGTCATTGCAAAACTCGAGAGGAAATCACGCTGGATGATCAAATTCCTACTGGGAGAGAGCCGTTTGTTGCTGTAACTTTTGACGAGGTTAGTTGTTGTTGTTCTAGAAAACTGTTGGTGTCGGGCTACACTAGAGTTGCTCTGAGTGATGAACAATTCATGCTTCTGCACAGGACATCACAATGGATGATACTTCGCAACAAGACCTGGCTCGTGATTTGGGAGTTAGACCAGTAGTGGAAGAGTATGCCTCTTAATTGTATTTGGGAAGTCATGTTACTTTGTTTTAGCAATGAATGTGGTTAGTCATTCTGATGCCTGATTTTCTGCAATTCTCAGCTCCGATCGTGATGAAAACAACCACAGAGGAGGTGGTCCAAGCAATGACACAGAAATGCTTACTGAACCTGCAGATTTTGGGGATGTCGGTCCAAGCAATGATACAGAAATGCTCACTGAACCTGTAGAGTTTGGGGATGTTGGTCCAAGCAATCAGACCGAAGTGCCCACTCAAGCAACAGGATTGGAGGATCCTGGGCCGAACAATCAGACAGAAGTGCTCACCGGATCAGCAGCAGCATCACAGGGCACTGACTCAAGGGATCATACTGTGATGGATGATGTACTTACTGAGAATGTGGAACCTGGTCAAGTTGAAAAAATTCGTGATGCTCGTGATTCTAGTCCAAGAAGAGCACCACTTGTGTCTCCAGATATGGAAAAGGATGATGCTGCTGATCGAAACCGGCTTCGAGAAAAAGATTTGCTCGAGAGTGGGATTAATATTCGGATTCCAGAAGAGCCTTCCTCTTCGGGGGTACACTCTTTTCGACTTAGGCCACATTCAGAACCTCCTACCTCTGCTGTCTCTGGAGGATCGGGACTTTTCCTTGATGAAAATATGTCCCCTGGTGAGTGTCCCTTAATGAAATGTTTAGCCTGAGAGATATATATTGTACGGTTGGAATGATCAACCAGCTCGTTTTTTGGCTGTTTCAGGCCAAGCAACACCTGGACTTGCTATGGTTGTTGCACCTTCACCTGTTCAGCAACCACAGCGGAGGGCCAGAAGGAGAAATTATTTCTTCGATCACGCCACAGTATTGACTAACAAGTACTGTTCTTACTCTCATCTTCGTCCTTTTCTCCCCCATGCTTTTGTTCCTTACTGGTTTTGTTTACTCATAAGAAAGATTAACTTTGTAGGTTTGTAAAGAAGGGTTTGAATGATTGTACTGATTTGTTGCGCAAAAAGAGGGCTCCACCTTCTGCTTTGAGCGTCTGGAAGCTGAGCAAGAAATCAAGGAAGGAACAAGTTTTTCATGAGCCGTTAATAACAGGTAAAAAATGGTTTTCCATTACTAAGCTGGCTATTTGTGTAATTTGAAGCTTGTGGAAATTTATTCTACTAACACCATTGGTGCTTTATATTGTTATTCAGGCTTGTCCCCAGATATAAGTACCTACTTTGCCGCGGACCATAGCTTTGCTAATCGTCATCCAATTCCTCAACTGGAAGACATTGCTGAGCCTAGTGGTCCTTCATCTCCTATTCAATCAACTGCTGTAGATGTCAATCCAGAGCCTACAGTTCCAAATTCTCCTCCTGTGATTCAACCCATCTCGCCTAGAAATGTCCATTCTCAGTCTAAAGCTCCCTCAGTTGATCCCACCACTACCACCGTGGAGCCCACTAATGGGAAGTCCGCAAACCCAGAGGCTAATGATACTGATACTGGCATGGATATGGATATTGATATTGACATTGAACGTGTTCGGGATGATGGAGGAGGCCATCACAGTAATGATGATGTTCTAAATGAATTTTCGATGAATTCTCCTGTTCAATATGGGCCTTTTCCTAGACAAGATGCCTTGACTCCCAGTCCAAAGCATGTGCATTCAACCACAGTCCGTGATGGGGCAGGAAACACAGGTGCAAGTGACATGCTGCATACTGCAACAGACTTTGCTGCCTCCACTAGCACATTCAGTTCAGGGTTGAGGACTCCAAGAATGTTTGGAGAGGACACTCAGCTTTCAAATATTCTTGAAGTGATGGATAGCCCGGAATCAGAAGTAAGCATCAAGCAGCCGGAAACTGGACTTTCAGCTTTCACTGTCATTTATATTTATAACCCTTTTCATTCCCTTTGCAGGGCCGTTACTCTAGTGGGGGAGATAACACGCCTGCTCCTGGTGAGCTACTTGTTCCGGATTCCCTATTCTTACCTTTGCATGGATGATGTTTGTTTTGTTGTTTTTTTTGACGTTCTTACTGTTGATAACAGGGTTTTATAAGGTAGGCAGTCAAGGAATTCACCAATTGTCTGGTAGAACAAGGTACAACATATAGTTATCCCTTTTGATTATGAGTTATTTTAATTGCATCTTCACCTAGAGCAGAATTTCTTAAGGTGGTACCTGTCTGGTTTTTGGTCTTATAGGGCTGTGGCTCAGTACTTGGAAAGACAATCTCCTAATACTCCAACCTTGGGAGAAGATCAAACCAGAGATATCAGTCTCAACAAGCTCCTAGAAGGGAAGACCAGGACGGTGTGTGCCCGAATGTTCTTCGAGACTCTGGTAAGCCTCTTCAAAACTGCTTCCTTTTTTCAAGCTCAAGTTCTGGTAATAGCCAGTGAACGTTACCTCATTTGACAATGGGTGGTGTTCTTCTATGCAGGTTCTGAAGAGCCATGGAGTCGTTGATGTCGAAAGAGAGAAGGAACAGGGCCGAGTTCGTCTGAAGCTTGATGTGGAACAAGAGGAGCCCTATGGCGACGTTCATTTGAAACTGACCCGTTTGGCAACATAACATATCAGTAGTAGTGCATATATGAGGTATTAATTAGGTCATGAACCATGATTTTGAAGTCCAGGTTTGTGATTATGAAGTATGATATTAGGTTTTTGTAGAAGTAGGACTAGTTAGTTAATTTATAGAGGGATAGTGTTCAGTTACAGGCAGAAGGATGAGCAGAGTCCATCCATATGGTTGCTTGATTGTATACAAAGATAATTGACCAGTAAAACTAAACCAGCTGTTGATCTTTGTTTCTTGAGTCTAACAACCATACATAAAGATATTTAGTTTTAGAGCTGAAAAGCATGCCAGCTCTTTCGTCCTTGAGCTGCAGACACAGAGAGGAATAAAATACTTTTCTTAGTTCTTGGAGGAAGAAGTCGCATATGGATGATTGAAAGAAGACCATGGAAGAAAAGCATATAACAACGGTGCACAATCAAGAAAAAGGGTGACAAGAGGATTCCACCAGGGGAAAGCAAGAAGAAAGCAAGGTCGAGAGAGATGAAACAGTCTCTCCGAAGAGAGAAAAAGTGAGCTCTCTAGAAACTTATTAGAGAGAATCACGAGTGTTTCTTTCTGCACTGCTTCCTTTAGCTGGGAATGGGATCCCCCCACCAGGGGAAGAAAACAGGGTAAACCAAGGTTTAGGGAGACGGGGAATTCCTTGCTTCCTTTCGGTAGATGGGATTTGGGATCCAGAAAAGCAATGCATTTTATTTTTAGGAAAGCTTCTCTTGGTATTTCATCTCGCAATCTCTCTTTCTCTTTCTCACCCTCACCTCACATTTCCTTCTCTTTTCCAAGCTCCCCTGCATTTCCTCTGTTTTTTTCACTCCCAAAGAAATGGCTGATATCATTCTGGGCCCTGCAGTTGAACTAATCCTTGGCAAGTTGGGCAGATTTGCGTCCGATCAGGTCCGACTTCTTTGGACTCTCAAACCCGAGATACTGAAACTCGGGGACACTGTTGCGGCAATCCAGGCTGTGCTTCTCGACGCAGAGAAGAAGCAGTGCCACAACCACCAAGTCAAACTCTGGCTCAAGAGGATCTCCGACGTTATGTACGATGCTGAAGATCTGCTTGACGATTTCTCCACTGAGGCTGCGCTCCAAAAGCAAGCAGTGACTCACTGGAGGACGGGGATGGCAGCGACCTGCTGGAGCTCGGTATGCTCTCCGGTCTCTTCCCTTCCCAAGCAGTTGATTTATCATTTTAAGATGGCTCGTGATTTAAAGGCGATTCGAGAGAAGCTTGATGTCATATCAAAAGAGAAGGAGGCTTTCAAGTTGGAAATTGGCTTCGAGGTAAAAGCTCTTCCTTCTTTCAGGGAGACGGATGCATGCCCACCCACGATTGTGATTGGGAGGGAAGATGACAGGAAAAACATCATTGTGCGACTGCTGAATTGCAACCCAGAAGCCAGCATTTCAGTCGTTCCCATTGTTGGGATGGGTGGGCTGGGGAAAACCACCCTCGCTCAGCTCGTATTTGACGACAAACAAGTTCGAGATTACTTCGACATAAAAGCTTGGGTCTATGTTTCACAGAGCTTTGATATCAAAATGATTCTCCTAAAGATGTTGGAATCCATAACTCGTCAGAAAGTGGGGGATCTCATGTTAGATGTGTTACAAGCTCAACTCCGGGAGAAAATCCAAGGCAAGAGGTACTTATTTGTATTGGATGATGTTTGGGAGGAGAACAGGCGCAGTTGGGAGAATCTGGGGAATCATTTGGCGTTCGGTGCTCTTGGAAGCAAAGTACTGGTGACTACTCGATCCACTAGAGTGGCGGAGTTTGCTGGCAGAGCTCTCAAGTCGAGAACAAGTACCAGTAGCAGCATTGTGGAACCTCATTTCTTGGAAGGCTTGTCAGAAGGTGAGAGTTGGCAAATATTGCAGGCCAAGTCCCTCCCAAGACAGATCCCAGCAGAAGTACAACATATTGGTAAACAAATACTGAGGCAATGTCGTGGAGTTCCTCTTGCTGTGAGCACCATAGCTGGTGTGTTAGCAGATTCGACTGATCCAAAGATGGAGTGGCCATCTTTTCTAGAAAAGGGACTTTCTAGCATCATGAATGAAGGAGGGGAAGTTTCTATTATGGCCACACTACAAGTCAGCTTCAATCTTCTGCCCTCTCATATGAAACATTGTTTTACTTATTGTGGATTGTTTGAAAAGGGGTTTCGATTTGGGATTCCAATGTTGGTTCGATTTTGGGTCGCACAAAGGTACATTGAGTCGGAAGATATAGGCTATGATTACTTTAAAACGCTGTGGTGGAGGTCATTTTTCCAGGAGGTGGAGATGGACGAGTTAGGGAACTTGTCGACGTGCAGAATGCACGATCTCATGCATGACTTGGCCGATTCAATAGCAGGAGATAATATAAAAAGAAGCACAAGTTCAAGTGTTCTACAAAATGTTCCTTCAAAGGCTCGTCATTTATGCATAACTCGTGGCGGTTATGATAATCCAAGACAAGAAGACAGTGATGGTGGCGACGAGCTTGGAAGCATGAGTAAGGTACGAACTCTAATATGTTTCCAATCTCTTTCAAGCGAAGAACTTGAACAAATCCTCAACAACTTCTTACGCTTGCGTGTATTGGTGATATGTTCATATGATGAAAGTGCTTATACGTCGTTGAAACTTGTTGGAAAGCTGAAGCATTTAAGATATCTTGGTATGTTGGGTTTCCACAAAATGAAAAATCTTCCGGACTCGATTATTAACTTGGTTAATCTGCAAGTTCTTAACCTCATCGGTGGCGAGTCACTGCAAGAACTACCAAGGGGCATTAAGAAGCTTGTTAATCTGAAGCATCTTGATCTCGATCGAACAAGTTGGAAAAATTTGAGACATATTCCAAAAGGGATTGGCGAGTTGAAGCTTCTCCAAACCCTACCAATCTTTGTAGTGGGGAAAAGAAGTAGTTGTAGTGGTAATGGGGAGATTGCCGGTGCAGAATTGAACGAGTTGGAAGGGCTGAATGCATTGTGTGGAGAGTTGATTATCATAGGCCTGGGAAATGTCCACTCTCTAAAGAAAAGTGTTTATGTCTTCAAAGAGAAGCTACATCTTCAGTCACTTGTTTTAGATTGGAGTCAATATGATCTCCGTCTATTGTCTGGTCGTGATGAAGGGATACTGGAAATGCTCTGGCCACACCCTAATCTAAAGAAATTGACGATACATGGTAGTATTGCTTTTGGAGGTGTGAAGCTTCCTATCTGGCTGTCCAGCCTCACGAATTTGGTTAAGTTCTCATTAAAAGATGGCCATCGATGTGAGTACCTCCCTGCTCAATTGCATCAAATGGTGAGTTTAAAGGAGCTTGAAATTAGCAATTGCCCAATGTTGAAGGGCATCAATAATGATGCCACTCATTGTGACTCTTGTTCGAACAACTCGACAGCAAGATCAAGAACAGAGGAAGAGGAATGGCCGCAGTTTCGATCTCTTGCCCACTTGGACATTTGCCGTTGTCCAAGGCTAACTCGGCTGCCCACCTTCCCTACCGTCGAATATTTGAAGTTGTTCAAGGCGAGCTCGACACCTCTTGCTCGGACCATGAAGATGAAGATGAAGATGAGGAGAGGAGGAGGTGTTGATACAACTGTTTCTTCAGCCCTCGTCCACCCACTCTCCAAGGTGACCAAGTTGTCCTTAGCAACCATAGTTGATGATCTCGAATCCCTATCGCATCATGATTCAAGTAGTTGTCTCGTCTCTCTTCAGACGTTACATGTTGGAAACTGTCGAGCCGTGAAGCTACCTGGTTCGCTGTGTTCCAGTTCACATCTAATGGAGATCGTTTTATCGGATTGTGAAATGATAGAGTACATGCCACCCCTACATGAACTCCCACGGTTGAGGGAGCTAATTATTTTTGGATGTCCGAAGCTGAAGGGATGTTGGTGGAAGAAGACGAGCGGGAATAATGATAGTAACCATCATTGTGGTACTGATGATTATTATAACTTCGACCCTTCAATGGAAAGAGATGAAGAGGAAAAGGGAGATGAGCAGACTGAGGAGGAGTGGCCACATTTCCCTTGTCTGTCCAAATTAGATATTGAAGATTGCCCAAATCTGACTCGGGTACCTCTATTTCCAACCGTTGAAGGCAGGCTGGTGCTTGAAAGCTGCACAGAGGCACTAGTGCGGACAATGAAGATGGAACCAGTAGTAGCTGCTCATCATCATCATCATCATCTTGACTCTCAACAAAGTTCTTCTTCTTTGTTGCTGGGGACTGCCCTTGTCGCTCCGCTATCTAAGGTGAAGGAATTGTTCCTCGAGCGTATGAAGGAGCTGCAATCTCTACCAGAAGAAGGCCTCCGCAACCTCACTTCTCTACGATACTTGTCGATTCGAGATTGTCGAAGATTAACATCTCTGCCTCCTGCAATACGACACCTCGCCTCTCTACGACAATTAGTCATCGTTGGGTGTACAAGATTAGCATCTCTGCCTCCTGCATTGCGAGACCTCACCTCGTTACGAAGATTGGACATTGAGTGGTGTACCCTGTTGAGAGAAAGATGCAGAAGAGGGGAGGGTAAAGATTGGCCCAACATTTCCCACATCCCTGTGATATATCTGAACGGAGAGGCGCTCCAGGGTTCAGGTTGGCCAATCTACACTACTACTGCATTTTATTTTTCTTGTTTTTTTTTTTTATAAAAGTGATCTCATTTGATATCTTTGTGATGTCGTAGATTTACTTCCATACTATCAGTGGTCGAGCTGAGGAAGAGGAGCAGACTGAGGCTGCTGCAACAGTGGACAGTCGTTGTCATCGACACAGATATCTTTGCTTTCAACAGACTGCCTGCAACCATGGCTAAGTTACCATTACTGTTGTGTACTAATTCCGCCAGGACTCGTGGTTGCTGCTTCGTGCAGCAATAGGAAGAATTCATCTGCAGTGGTTTGTAATTGACAGAATCTCTAAAGCCGTTAGAGACTTAGAGTTTTTACGGAAGTGGCTTAATTTGTCAAACATGTTTCTCAGAAATCTGTACATTTTGTGTATTTTTCAGAAATTGTTTATGATTGTCACAACTCACAAAGTCAATAGTTATGACTAATTATTAGTAATTCATTAGGCTTGACTAATAAAAAAGAAGGCGGGAAATATTTGGCTAATAATTAGTCTTTATCCTTTTCTTTTTAACCGAAGCATAAAAATATTTGACTATGTATCACGCGATAAAACGATATATCTCGAATCCTGGACGATATTCAAATGAAATGACGAGAAGGAGCGAGTGAAAGTTCGAAACGAATGTTTTTTCTTAAAACCAAAATCATAACGTGATAAATTGACGAGATTGTAAAACTATCGATACATCACGAGTCCGGATTTATTGACTTTTTGAGTTTATATTGACTCTGATCTAAAAAGGGTTAATACTTTAAACTGGTCCGAACTATATCTAAATAGTCTACTTTGGCCCTTGATTTTAGAAATGGCTATCCTGAATTCAATTATACACCATATAATCTAGCTTGGCCTAACGCATGTTTTGTCCGTCAATTTGAACTATCAACACTAGGGCTGGGCATGCGGGCGGATCATCCGCGGGTTTGGGCCGACCCACCCGCATTTGACCCGAATTTTGTTAAGTGGGTGGGTCGGTGGGTGGGTGACGGGTTGCGCTAGGAGCCATCCGCCGGGTGGTGGGTGGGTTGTGGGTGAGTGTGCGGGTGACCCGCTCAACCCAACAACAAAAAGATCAAAGTCGTTGGCGCTAGAGAGAGGAGAGTGGAGACGTTAGATATAAACTCGGACTGCTCCTGGACTTTGAACCACAAAGCCAGCCTTCCAAATAGAGATCCCCTCTTCTTCCCTTTACTTTTTCCTCTAATTCTTGTGCCTAGATCACCGCTCTTTCCTTTGTGAAATTATTTTTTTTAGTTTCTTGCACCTAATAATCGTCTAAATCTATAGAAAACTCTTTCATAATAGAATTTCTATCCAATTTAAGAACTAATTCGACATTTTTCGCCCTATTTCAATTTCTTGTTTCCCTCGATGATTCTCTTCACCTATTATCATGTCAAGTTGACTCCTTTATATTATATACGTTGTGATGTGGGTGAACCCACAAACCCACCCGCATCATCCACCATCCGCCCGACCCAACCCGAAACTGAATGTGGGTGGGTGGTGGGTTAAAAATTATCAATCCGTTTAAGCGCGGGTGGGTGCATTTTATGGTCAAAATCCACCCGACCCACCCAATGCCCACCCCTAATCAACACTATTGACTGGCGATCAACGCTCCAGCTCATTGCCACATTAAACCACAAATAAAAAAAAATGAAATTTTAAATTATTTCATTTTTCGTTTATGATAACATTTATGACGGTCAACGCTCAAGCTTATAACCATGTTTAACAACAAATAAAAAAAATATGAAATTTCATATTTCGTTTAGGATAATAAAATAAATATTGGTGATGAAAAAAAAAGGAAGAAGAATTCGTGGGTCTTTTAAATCGAGCAAAGTAAACATGATGCCGGACAAAAACCTTCGGCCGTGGATCGTTAGTGGTGCGGCGGCGAATGCGAGCTCCCGGAGAGGCGGAGACTGTCTAGGAACAACGGAAACTCTGAAGCAAAAGAAACGCCATCACTCGAAGCTTCGATTTTCTTCGTACTAGCAGCATTGCTTTCTTCTTGATTATCCTATCGCTCTTCCCAAAAGAGAGCTTGTTCGACGCTGGGGTTTTCACTTTTTCTGCTACATATTTCTCCTTGTTTCTAGGAATTGCACAATATGGCTCACCATCACTTGTTTTTGCGCTCTCTCTGTACCTTCGTTTCCGAGGCCTGATTTCAGAGCTGTTGTGGATAATTTCAGATAGAGAAAGGTGGGTTGACAGTCTGACGCCTTCCTACCAAGTTACAGGTGCAACAGGAACCATATTTAAGGTCAGTGAGCATTTGTGTTAGGTAGCTATTGTTACCCTTTTTTCTCCCCTCTTTGCCTTCATTTCTTGATGATAGAGAACGGTTGCAATTTTGGGTATCCAAGTATAGAGTTGATCATCTTTTATGTGCTATGATGCTTGAACATCGAAACCATTTTGACTTGTCTTGTGAACATCGAAACCATAAGCAAGCATCTCTTTTTGAATCTAGTAAAAGAAGGAACAGTAGCTTCTGGTAATTTCTCTTTGGGTAGAGGGGATAAAGATTGACGGGAGCAAGGAATTGATAAGGTAGGGCATAGTCTTAATTATATAATTGGAATTTGCATCGCTGGTTGGACCCAGAAGTTTTAATTCTGTGGAAGCTCAGTCTTTATGACTCTCTTGTTTGCTCTTGCTTTGCTACTTACCCTGCTTCCCCCTTGACTCTTGGTTAGATTTTCCTTGCTCTCTGATTTGAGGTTGTTCTCTCTCCCCAGCTTTCCCCCCTAACATGGCTGCTGAAACCATTCTGATCCCTGTTGCAAAACAAATCATTGCCAAAGCAGCCGACTTGGCCTTGGAGCAGCTTGGGCTCATTTGGAATTTCAAACCCGAGCTCTGGAAACTCAAGGCCACCGTCTCCACCATCCAGGCCGTGCTCCGTGATGCCGAAGAGAAGCAGTCGCACAACCACCAAGTCAAACTCTGGCTAGATAAGCTCTCCGACGCGATGTATGATGCCGATGATCTGCTTGATGATGTGTCCACCGAGGCTCGTCGGAAGGCCATGACTGCAACAACTACTAATTGTTGGAGTCTGGTATGCTTTCTGTTCTCTTCACTTCCTGAACAGTTGGTGTATGATCTTAAGATGGCTCATGCTATCAAGGCCATTAGGGAGAAGCTTGATGATATATCGAAAGACAAGGATACCTTCCATCTGGAAGTAGTTCATAGTACTGAGGAGGACGAAGCCCTTCATTCCCGAGAGACGGATTCCTGCCCACCCACTATTGTTGTTGGGAGGGAAGATGATAAGAAGAATATCATTCACCTGCTACTACTGCTGAATTCCAACTCTGAAGTCAACAACATTTCGTTCGTCCCCATTGTTGGGATGGGTGGGTTGGGGAAGACTACTCTTGCTCAACTCGTATTCGATGATGATGAAGTTACCGCGCACTTTGACATCAAAGCTTGGGTCTATGTTTCTCAAAGTTTTGATGTCAAAGCGATTCTCGGAAGGATGCTACGATCGATAGACCGTCAAAATCAGGCAGGTCCCGAGTTAGATGATTTGCAAGCTCAACTCAGAGAAAAAATCCAAGGCAAGAGGTTTTTGTTTGTGTTGGATGATGTTTGGGAAGAGAGAGTTGTAAGGTGGGAAATTTTAGGAAAATATTTGACTGTTGGCGCCATCGGCAGTAAGGTGCTGGTGACTACTCGATCCTCTAAGGTGGCCGAGGTTGGTGGCCGAGCTCTAAAGTCGAGAACAAGTACCAGCATCGTGGAATCTTATCACTTGAAAGGTTTGTCAGAAGAAGAGTCCTGGAATTTATTACTGACAAAGGCCCTCCCTAGAAAAATTCCACAAAATCCATATGTTGAAGAAGTTGGAAGGGAGATACTAAGGAAATATGGTGGAGTTCCTCTTGCTGTAAATACCATAGCTGGTATGTTAATGAGTTCGAAAAATCCCGAAATCGATTGGCCATCATTTCTGCACAAGGGACTTTCTGAAGAAGAAAATCCTACCATATCAGCTCTTAAACTAAGTTTCAGTCATCTTCCTTCTCATATGAAGCATTGCTTTGCTTACTGCAAACTATATCAGAAAGGTTATGAATTTCATGTTAAATCATTGGTTCAGTGTTGGGTGGCACAAGGGTACATTGAGTCTGAAATTAAAGGCTTAGACTGCTTCATAATGCTATGGTGGAGGTCATTCTTCCAGGAGGTGGAGATGGATGAGCTGGGGAATATGCTAACATGCAAAATGCATGATTTGATGCACGACTTGGCCGATTCGGTAGCTGGAAATAAGATCATTAGAAGTTTAAGTTCCACTGCTCTAATAAATATTCCTTCAAAGACTCGTCACTTGGCAATATACGAAGATGATGACAATGACGCGGGAGAAGAAGCTGATGCTGCTGTTGCTGATGAGTTGGAAAATGCTAGTAAGGTGCGGACTTTGGTATGCCATAAACCTCTTTCAAAACAAGAGTTTGAAATAGTCATCTGCAAATTCATACGCTTGCGAGTGTTGATTGTGTTTGAAGATAGATCAGATGCTTCAACACTATTGCACTTTGTTGGTAAGCTGAAGCATTTAAGATATCTTGTCATTCATTGCCATGGAATGGAGATGCTTCCAGATCCCGTTACTAACCTGCTTAATCTACAAGTGCTTGTGCTCAAATATTCCAGATCATTAAAAGAACTACCAAGGTATATTAAGAAGCTTGTTAATTTGAAGCATCTTGTTTTCGACGAAAATATGGACCTTTTGACCCATATGCCAAAAGGGATTGGGGAGTTGAAGTCCCTCCAAACACTGCCAACTTTTATGGTGGGCAAGAGTAGCAGTAGTAGTAATAACAAGACGGTCGGGGCTGGGTTGGATGAGTTGAAAGGATTGAATGCATTGCGTGGAGAGTTGAACATAAAAAACTTGGTAAATGCTGAGTTTCCAAGCACAGACGTTTATGTCCTGAAGAAGAAGCTACATCTTCAGTCCCTTATTTTAGATTGGAGCCCT